AAAGTTAACAAACTAAGAACTAACTTCCAAAAGTAAAATTACGAAAACTAAATAAAGTTTTTATTTTGATGGAAAGTTCAAATTTAAGAAAGCAACATTCTCCTTTACAATGAATATATGGATTGTGAAGAAGTTGAAATCATTTTAAAAAATATAGAAAAACGGTTTTGTGCCAAATATGAGCAATTGTGCCAAATATAACGGTTTTGTGCCAAATATGAGCAATCCTATTATTTACCCTATTCCGAGTGTTATAAAGAACATTGACTAATCCAGAGTTTGGTCCCTAATTTCGTGGTTAGTTTAGGAAGATAACGCTGTCACTCCAGAGATTCCACTACTCCCTAACCTAAGGGCTAACAATCTCACATCAGTTTCCAATCAGCTAGACCAAATTTAGGATTTTAATCTGTCACCTTAAAATCTCCAATTCTGCATCCAACAAAGTATATTTCTCTATTTATTTGCACCCAATCCCATGGATGACATAATCTTCCATGAAATCAAATGTGATTCTCCCTATGTTATAGAAATCATATCCCTTTTCAGAACATATGTCCAACAACAAGTTTTAATATTTCAATTGGTCAGATCAAAAAGTAAATGAAGATCAGAGTTCAAATCATCACAAATTATTAACTTTTAAAATCATAGAAAACAAAATCAATTCTTCACAAAAACCATATCTAAAAATAGGGAGAATGATAAAGAAGACTACTCAGAATTCAGGAGAAGGATACGACAAAACATGAATTTCATATATAAAAACAAGTTTACAAAATAAATGAAATAAAAATACAACTTATCTCACAACTCTTCCTAAGAAAATCCCTAGACGTTCTCTCCAAGCCTTTTTCTCTTTACAATCACTCTCAATTCTCTTTTAGAAGTGTAATGAAGAAAAAATCTCTCACATTCCCTCTCACATTCCCTCTCTATTCCCTCTCTTCTTACAACCCTAGAAGAAATCTCCTCTTCTCTCTCTCACCTCTCACGCTAACTTCCTATCTCTCCCTTTCTCGTCTCCCCCTTTTAACTCTCTCAAGTCTTCTCTTTTTCTTTTGGGCTGCCTCCTCTTTAAAAGAAATCTAAATTCCCTCCAAAAGTCAACTCTTTCCAAAAGTCAACCTCCAAAAGTCAACTCTTTTAAATTCAAAAGATATGTCATTTGATCCAAGAGACATATCCCTTCATAAAAGAACCTTCCAAAGTGTCTAGATGCATTGTATTACTCTAATAGGTGTGTAGAACAAGTGTCCGTTTGAAAATTCACGTAAAATTTGTCTCAAACCTCCTTAATTTGCAAAAAGTCGTCTATGGCGCATAATATGCCAGCTCTCTGGATTTTGGCGCATCATGCGCCAATCTGGCGCATCATGCACCAATCTGGCGCATCATGCACCAGAATCCCCAAATTGGTTGTTGTGGCTCCAAATTTCGTCCTTTTTGCCATTTTCTCTTCAAATGTTTAAAAATGATATATCTGCAACAAAAACATGAAAATACCCTTCCTTAAAGTGCAATATCACAAAAAATAAGCATAAAATATGTACTTAAAATAATATATTATTTTGGTGTATCAGTAGCCTTATGAGATCTTTGATATAGTTGTTCCTTCTAATGCTTATAACCTTCTGAGGCCTTTGAGTGGAGACCCTGTCAACCACTTTCTTTCGTGGAGTCTTTCTAGTGTGAACCCTGTCCACTACTGGCTTTTCATCGAGACTTGCCTCTTGAGCTCATCTTCCAGGGGCATTGTAGCTTCCTATCAAAACGTTCCTAGACTTGTCTTCTAAGAGCACCGTAATTCTCATCGAGTCTTGCTCCTTGGGCTCAACTTCCAAGGGCATGGTAGTTTAGCATTGAAACTTGCCTTCTGGCTTGTCTTCTAGGAGCGAGCTTCCCAAAAGTCTTTTCTCTTAGGCTCGACTTCGAGGGGCATGGTAGCTTCTCATCAAGACGTTCTCATGTGCTTATTGTCTGGGAGCATCATAACTTCTCATCTAGTATTGCATCTTGGGTTTAACTTCTAGGGGTAAGGGTGGAGACCTTCTCTGCCACTACGAATGTTCAACCCACCACAAATATTCAACTTTTCCTAGGTTTTTTGTCAAAGTTCTTTTGTCGACTATAATTTGTTTTAGAGTAGAGTTAAAAAAAAGAATTCATTTAAAATGTAAGGCCCTTCCTGGGCTGTATAGCTAGAGGCGCTTGATGACATTAACTGATAATGGACAAAGTCATGTGAAATCCACTAAGAATGGTTGATCTATTGTAGGTTGGTTATCAAAGCTTTTGCTCGACTATCTTAACCAGTTATGGAGAAGGTCAAAGGCAATCCACTAAGAATTTTTTACCAATCTGAGGCTATTAGTCGTAGCTTATGCTTGACAACTGTAGCCTATGTTGGAAGAGGTTTAATCGAGCCCCCTTGTGATCAATTAAGCCCAAAATGAGGTGTCAAAGATGCTCTACAATTTTCAAGACTGAGCATTGGTCAAAATGGACTGTACTTTTTATTGAAAATATGGTTACAATCATACTCAAGAATAATGTTTAACAATTACCACTTTTGAATCTTTTGCTTTACTAGTGAGGGCATTTTCCATTCAAACTTGTAAAGCAACCCATGTATTGAGCCTCAAAGAGATCAATTTCTTGATTTGGTTAAAGAGGAACTTTAGTACGATGAGGGGGCACTGAGGAAGCATTATTTCAAGAGTGATTTTCAAAGGCTTGTTGTTTGAATGAATATGAGATGACTACCCTATCATAATCGTGCCCATGATGTTAACTTGAACTACACTTTGAGACTACAGTGAAGGTTGCCCCTTCAACTTGGAAGAAGTTGTAAAATACCTTGTGTCTGAACATGATCTAGAAGACAACCTCACTACATTTGTGCTCGAGCGTTGACATGAATGACCTTTCAAGACTGTAATAAAGGTTGCCTCTTAGATCATAAAATGCTTTAAAGATGATCTTCAAGATGTGAAGGAGGCTCTTTTGCTAGTTAGATGATGTTCATCATTAAGATACAAAGCAGGGGCTCAACTTCTCAAAGTTGAAGACACTGCTAAATGGGACTTTGCTTCCCACAGACAATGACAAACTGATGTGTGCTAGAAGATTAATAATAATAGAGTAATGATTATTTATTGTCTTGACGTTGTACGAGAACCTAACATAAACTCTTGTTATATAAATGATGGTGAAAAAATACTAGAAAATTTCTTACGTGAATAACCCTTGAAAGAGAAAAAAACTATTGGGCCTAACCCAATTGAAATAATCTACTATGAGTGGTGAGTACACAAGTCCACACTTTTTTTGAATTAGGAAAGATGGAATTAAAAAGTTGTATATCTGTAAATTAGCAGTAGTTCTTGACGATAACTGACTATAAGGGCTATAGTCGATTATCACAGAGGTAGTAGTTAGTTGTGAGTGTTGTAGATGGTGGCTGTAGCACCAACTCGTCGTAGAAGTCGTGGTTGATAACCATGATAATAATTGACTAGGTGGGCCATAGATGGTTTCTTTAAGAACATTGGTTGGCCATATATGAGTTACACATAGGCTGTATATGCCATAGTGGTGAGCTGCGATGACGTGCGTGGGCTGTAGGTACTAGAGTCAGGAGCTGTATAAGTTGTGTATCACGTAGTAGCGAGTAGTAATGACGTCTTAGGGTAGTGAATGCTGGAGTTGGGAGAGTACGAACTGTGGACCACATAGGACATAGATGGTCATATAGGCCATAATGGCGAGTTGTAATTATATCCGTAGGCCGCAGGGGCAGGAGTCCGGAGTAACACGAGTTGTGGACCACGTAGGCTGTAGTTGGTCATGTAGGCCATAATGGTGAGTTGTAATGAAGCGCGTAGGCTGCGGGGGCTAGAGTCGGGAATTGCATGAGCGCATACAAGGTGTATAATTACCCCATCTTCGAGATGCGCTGTTGCACCATCCTTGGGATGCGTTGTTAAGCTATCTTTGAGGTGCGTTGTTGCGTGTCTTTGAGGTCAGCTTGATGTTTAGGATGATGCGTCGCTTAGCAGGTTACTTCGTGAGTCCACGAAGTTAGTTGTTTCTTCAAACGACGCTTCATCGTAAGAAGTGGGCGGCAACCGATGGTGATGGTCGGTGGCTCAGGAGTAGTGGTTGATGGCGGTTTGTGGTGGTTGTCATTTGCAGGAGTAGGAGACAACCTTAGCTCGTTTTCCAAGCTTCAGTCTTCTTTAGGCTTCAAGTTCTCTCTTTTCCATGAGAGGGGTGAGGTTCAATTTTATATAGTCATGGTTGCAATTAATGAAACAATATGAATCACTTTAAATGGAGGGCTCGAATAGACTCCCTCGATCAGAGAAAGTTTGATGGACATTTGAGTGTCTTAACAATGTCAGAATTGAGCTATCTTAGGTTTGTTGGATTGGTCTTGTTGAGACGCTTGATTCGACCATAAACATTAGATTTATCATCTGTTTGACCTTCAAAATATATCTGAAAAGTTTCTAAAGACACTTAATGCTTGATCAGAGGTTGATTTGACTCAGATTGGACCAATTTTGGTATCATTGGGTTTGTTTCATCTAACCGATCATTTTGACTATAAGTTTGTTGAAATCAAATCTTTGGATAACTCTTAATCAAAATTTGAATAATTTTTACTCAAAAGCTCATCCTTGTCACAACTTCAAATAAAATATTGAGAATTTGTTTATGTTATATCACAAATATTATTAAATCTAAAGGAAGGAAATAAGTTTTGTTATTCCCAATAAAACAAATTTTAAAATTCGTATAATATCAAAATTATTAATTATTTAAATATTATAATTATTTTTTAAAATAAATATAATAAATTTAAGATTCATTTGATAAAAAATTAATTAGTGCATGTATTAATTAATTTTTAAATTTAATGTACCCAAAAACCATGCGAAATAAAATGCTGAAAAAAACACTTTTTATATTTAATTCCTGTGGGTTAATTTGTTATTTTAACATTTCTCTCTCTTTCCGGTCGTGTCGGTTTTCGACTGCCGATAGCCATCTTCATCGCTTTCGGCTCCAAATGGAGGCCTGCCTCTGATCTTATCCGGATTTTCATCGAATTCGAGAGAGAACAAAAGGCGACTTGCATCGCCTGAGAGGTGAATCATCACTCGCCGGCGTAGACCTACACGAATCC